TACCTATGGAATCGTCTTCTGCGATGTCTTCAGGCTCAACCTCCGGCATTTGGAATGTTATCAGTTGATAGGCGAGTTTCCTTGCCTGGTCCGCTCTTTCTCTGCGTCTTTTGGGTTCACTTATACATCCATGGAGGGCAAATGCTGGCGCCAGTTCTGTCAGCATTTCGCTCATGGCCGCCCTCGCCACCACATATCCTTTTCTAATCTCCTCCGACGAAATTGTAGGAAACGATCTCTGCAAAAACAATAAAGTTTTATTTGAAGACTGGTTGCCGCAGTAGGGAATAGCTCTTCCCAATGAGATCAGTTCTTCATCTTGCGGTTGATTACTCGCTTCGTTCCTCTTGCAAGAAGCCGTGTGTCTCTTAACATTCCTTGCAAGCATATTCTTCCCACAAGTTTTACAAATTTTCATATCTAAACAAAAAAAAATAGGTTAAGTAAACATAAATTTAATGCATCAACTTCAATTTATTTAGGTGAACAACGAATGGCCTCGATCGTTCAGTTTTTCTTATTGCTGCGTTGCTCGGCGGGATCAAATGATCGACCACGTAAGGACCCACATACGGGCTCACCCATTTTGGGGACTTGCCTTTCCACAACCTAGGGTATAAATACCATACTTTATCTCCAGGACGTAAAGTTAACTCCTTCACTTTAACATCGTATAATGATTTCCTGTAAATCGCTAATGTTTTAAGCCGCCTGCGCGCCAGTTGATGAGCCATCAATGACTTGTCATGAACCTGCTTTACAAATTCTGGATAAAATTCAGCTTTATCGACCTGTTTGGGGAGTCGATAGATTAAATCTACTGGCATCACGTTCTCCCTACCTAGAAACAACCTGTTTGGCGTAAAACCTGTAGCGGAATGCAGACTTGCCCGGTAAGCAGCCATCACCTGTGGTAACTGTTCATCCCAATCTGTTTGAGAGTCCTCCACTACTTTAGCCAGCATCGAATTTAACGTTCTGTGGAACCTTTCAATCGCACCATTTGAAGAGGGATTATAAGGCGACGTTCGCACCTTTTGATTCCCAATGTCTGCAGTAACGAGGCAAACAGTCCACTTTCAAATTCTCTACCTTGATCGGTAAGTATCTGTAATGGCATTCCAAACCTAGGAAATACCTCAGAAGTCAAGATTCTGGCAACTGACATTGCTGTATGCTTCCGCAATGGAAACGCTTCAGCCCACTTTGAGAAATGATCGAGAACTGTCAATATAAAAATATTCCCTTTTTTTGATTTCGGATGAGGGCCTGTAATGTCCAACGCCACTCTTTCCCATGGCAGTCCCGACAGCATTATCTTCATCTTCGCTCGTCTAGGTGGTTTCCCACGGTAGTATCGGCTACATCTTTCACAATTCTTTACGAATGATTCCACATCCGACTTCCACGTTGGCCAATAGAACCTGCGTTGAACGATTTCTTTCAACTTTGCTATACCGGCATGTCCACCTGTCATACCTGTGTGTGAAATTAATAAAATAGAATTAATCTTTTCAGTAGGCACCAACACCTGCCATACTATTTCCACCCCTTCCGCCGTTTCAAATCGTCTACACACTAATCCATCTTTAATTTCTAAACGGTCCCATTGATTCCATAGCGTTTTGAAAACTTCATCTTCTCCTGAAATATCGTCCCAAGATGGTTTAGGAGCTTTATCTTGTAACCATTTCATAAATGTGCCGATAGTCTCGTCCGAAATTTGAGTTTCTCTTAGGTCCAAAACATCGTTCGCTTCTTTTACCTGTTTAACCACATGTACGGTTGTTTCACAACATTTCTTTTTGCACGGCTTTCTGGACAAAGCATCAGCATTATTATGTCTAGTGCCTGCTCTGTGCAAAATTTCAAAGTCAAACTCTTCCAACTGTTCCAACCACCTTGCTTGTTGCCCTATTGGGTCTGGTGTGTTTCTTAACCACGTTAACGGTGCATGATCTGTCCTGACGGTGAAATGCCTGCCCAACAAATATTGTTTAAAATATTTAAAGAAATAGACTACAGCTAGTAATTCTTTGCGTGTTGTGCAATAATTTTCTTCGGCTCGACTGAGAGTCCGGCTTGCGTAGGCGATAACTCTTTCTTTTCCATTCTGCACCTGAGATAACACCGCTCCGATACTTAGCTGCGATGCATCCGTATCTAACACGTACGCTCCATCATCGTTCGGCATTGCTAACACGGGCGTAGTAGTTAAAGCTAACTTTAAACTTTCAAAAGCATTTTGCTGCTCTGCTCCCCAACAAAATTTTTGCTTGTTTCTAAACAAAATATTCAAAGGTTTGGCCAACTTGGAAAATCCTAGAATAAAACGTCGATAATAACCGGCCAATCCTAAAAATCCTCTTACTTCTGTCAATGAAGATGGTGCTGGCCAATTTCGAACAGTTTCAGTTTTGTTTGGATCCGTTGATATTCCTTGATCGGATATTACATGACCTAAAAACACGACTGCTTTCTTGAGGAACTCGCATTTTTCCAATTTTAATTTTAATCCCGCATTCCTCAGTCTAAGAAAAACCTGCTCCAACCTAGAAAAATGATCCTGCAAGTTATCAGAATATATTATGATATCGTCAATATACGCTAAACATGTATCGGGGCATAAATCCGAAAGCACTAAGTCCATCAATCTCTGAAAGGTAGCCCCTGCATTGCATAAACCAAAAGGCATCCGTTTGAACCTAAACATTCCTTTATTACAAATAAACGCAGTTTTATCCCTATCATCAGGGTTCATTTCAATCTGATGATATGACGATTTGAGATCCAGAGTAGAAAACCATTGCGCTCCTGACATTGCATCCAAACACATGTCAATTCTCGGCAAGGGGTACGCATCTTTAACTGTTAGCGAATTCAGTTTCCTATAATTTATACAGCATCGGTACGATCCGTCTTTTTTTTTTACTAACACGACGTTGGATGACCAGGGACCATGGGCTGGTTCTATTACGTCCTGCTCAAGCATCTCGTCAACCTGTTCCGCGATCACCCTTTGATGCGCCGGAGGATGTCGCCTCAGCTGTTGTTTTACCGGTCGTGCATCCTGAGTATCAATCTTATGGAAGACTCCTTTCGCAGCGCCTATTTCTCCACTCGCACTGCTGAATCTGTCTGAAAAACTTATAAGTATTCGAGTCAAGTTTTCTCTCGCTTCCTTAGGAATATCTTTTACTAATCCATCAACTATACCTGTTACTTCTGTTAGACTTCCATATGTTAGACGATCAACTGATTCCTTTGCTTCCACAGCCGATGATAAATCTGACAATCGCGTTCCCCGGTTTATCACCCTTGGTTGATCGTTGACATTCAAGATCCTAACACACTGCCCTTCATATTTTATAGGTAGTAACGTTCTAGCTACATACACACCCGTTTCTATTTGCCTGTTTTCCGAACACATAAATTCGGTCGATTCCAACTTGGACGGCTGGCGAACAATCATCTTTGCTGGCACGTCTAATTCAGACCGCGCAGGGATGCGCACTTCTGTGTGAGCTTCAATACGACAAAGCTTCCTGCATGAAAAATGTTTAATAACTAATTTCATCGTTCTATTTTTGTTACCCACGGCGATTTTTTCTTCGCCAAACTTCCACGAGATATGATTGTTCCTGAGCCAATCTAAACCTAAAACAATTTCTGAAACATGATCAGACACCAATACCAACGCTGATTTGGAATAATCATCAACTTTAATTTGCAACTTCATTTCTCCTTTGACTGGAATTTCTGTGTTGTTGGCAGCTTTCAATCTTTTTTCCGTCGGTCTGATCTTTGTGACATCAACCATAGACGTTGGAACAATGGATACACTACTGCCACTATCAAGTAAACCTAATTTTCTTTTGCCATTAATCGTGATTGGCAGATACATGACACGATCGTTGCTTTCAATTGACTTGTTCACGTGATCCACTGTGCTGCTTGTCATTCCTTTTTGCGGGCACTCCCTCACAAAATGACCTGTCTTTCCACATTTGTAACAACCTTTGAAATTCACTTGACTATAAGTTTGGGATTTGCAGGTCTCATTCTTCTCAGGACATTTGACTGCAAGATGACCTGGCTTCTTACAATTAAAACAAATTTTCTCTCGCTCAACTCGGGATACAGTTGGCTGCACTCTTTTATTTCTGAGTTCTTCAAATGACTTTTGAAGAAACGCAATCTGTCGTACCATTGACTCCATGTTTTCTGCTCCTGCTTGAAAATCTTTAACCTGCGGGTCAAACCTGTGAGATGAATCTACCACCATCTTTGAAACTTCAAGACGCTGTGCGAATCTAAGAGCATCGTCAATGTTCTTTGGTTCTTTTTCCCTAACCTTTAATTCTAATTCAGCATTATCGAGGGCTGACAAGAAAAAGTCCCTAGCTAGATGTGTAGCTAATCTTGACTGCTCTCCTGGATAGGCTAATGACATGAGTCTTTTAGTAACCATTGACAACTCTCGTAACGACTCACCAGGTTTTCGACGAAGAATCTGTAATTCGTACCTGTATGACTCTTCATGACCTCTTGTTCCAAAACGATCTTCTAGCTTAGATACCAGCTCTTGGTAACCTAAACCTGTTAAATCCCAGAGAACCTGTGAAGCTTCACCTGTTAACGAACATGACAAATACGCTTCCATGTCTACGAGATTCCAATTATTGTACCTGGCACATATCTCAAACTTTTTTAAGAAAGTTTTGAGACAGCCGGTGCCATCAAATCTGTCAGGTCGAAGCAATTCGCGACGACAAAAGTCGTTGTCACGCTCGGCACCTATACGCGGTTGATGAACCTGAGACTTCATACCAGTTAAATGA